ATATATATATATGAATGAGTTTCTATAACATCACTTGATCTTGAATAAGAGTTATGGAAAATTCATCTTTCAGACCTTCTTCACGTTATGCAACCTAAAGTATAAACTGATAATATTGAAACCTACCACTTACAACTAATTGTATTTGGCAAATAAATTGTTTTCGGTTATATTTTTGTGCAGACAGGAGCTCAGCACAGCCGCATGGAATATATATGAATTTCATTAACCGTTTCCTGTTGATCGGAAATGGTGGAAATAGAAAGCTATTTTAGGTCCAAATAAATGTGCTTTGTTTCTAGTGTTATGAAAGAGACTGAATGATCGGATTACAGAAGTGACGGCTTGGGCAACCAGTCACTCCTTCTAATGGCAATTTTTGTGAACCACTTCATTTTCAAATTATTCTAAAACCTATTATTCTCCTTATTCATTCAGCCATGACGGATCCCACAATTGAGTACGGATTTCAACGTCTGTGCAAGATAATTCCTCGTCATCCAGGCGACCCTGAGAGACTTCCACGAGAGATTATCTTAAAGAGAGCAGCTGATCTTGCAGAAGCCCTGTACACGATGCCCGGACGCACTGGAAACGCCTCTCTGCTTGGTTCGGGAAATGCATTAGGTATAGGCTCTTGTTTCGGACTAACTTCTTCAATGCTGCCAAGTAGGTTGAAGTCGAGTGAACTAAACGAGCCTTCTGGCAACTTGGGCCTCCCCTCTTCCCATCATTCCTGCCTGAACCATTTAAGTCAAAATGTCACACCACCCTCCGCCATTTCTCTGTCCATGCACAAATTGCCAATGCAACAGCAAGTTTCGGATTTTCAACATTCTGACGATCTTCAGACGCGCACTCAAACGGGGCATTCGCTTCAAGCCCCTGATCCGGTTCAAATGTCTTTGAGCTCCGGGGTTTCTTTGATGGATACCTCGTCCAGTTCTATATCTGCCTGTGGACCCCTAGGCCAAGGACTTTCTGGCAACGAGATTCCTTCGAGCATCTCTTCTTCGTCGGACGATGAGAACAGCAGGAGTGATAGTGAGGAGAATGAAGAGGAAGAAGACGTAGACGAAGATGAAGACGACTATCAGGAGGAAGATGAAGAGGAAAGCTGCAGAAAAGAGGACATGGAAGGCAATCTAGCCGAAGTGAGCAGTAACATGGATAAGCAAAAGAACCTGAACGATGAAGGCATTTCACAGATCAGAAATTTCCCTTACACTCGCGGGGGAAAGAGACTGCAAACGGATAAAGATGAGATGTCAGCCGTAGTTCGAGGGGGCAAGCCGAAATACTATCGAAGAATGACATTCTACGCAAAGGGGCGAGAATATGCTGTCAACGATGAGAAGGTTGAAGCCGCTGAAGAGGCAGGAGGTTATCAATCGTCAAGTTGCCGGAGGCGACGTACTCGCAGAACCTTGGCCCGCGACGACCACAACCGGTTCAGAAGAACCTGTCGTGCAGACGACTCCTACCGACTGGGCGCAGAGTTGAACAACGAAACACTCCAGCCAACTCGAGGCTTGGGCGTCAATAGAAGTCTCGAGGAGGGTAAACTGTGCGGGACGGACGAGGCGAAGACAAGAGGTGTGAGAGGTTGCATCATTTCCGGCCAGTTGAGGCCTGTGGACAAGGGCGGCCATGGGCCGGGATACATTCCAACGGATGACCTCCAAGAAGAGACAAGCACCTCTGCAACCATGGCAGTGGCCAAGACGGTGCCAACCTCGTGTCCAGGCAACAACTTTTCTGTAGGTCCAACATCCAGTCTGCCCTGACAGACTGGGTGTGTAGGTGATGTGTGATTTTAGCTGTTGGACCTTTAATTTATGCGTATGTGGTGGTACAGACGACGATCGGCCTCAGACAGGGACATTTCTGTCCAGACAATCCGAATACATGGGCCCATCGTGTTACTCCACAAGACTGAGGCATTTTAAGGTGGGGCATTGAGACTAACTGGTCTCTCTGACCTCAAGTGATCTGTTGACTTTGGGCATTTCGGCGGTTCGGTGTAGTTTATCCGAGCAGTCAAGGCTATGTTAAAGGAGGGCCTGGATTCGCCAAGTAAGCTTCAGCATAACCTGTAGCTAGGTTGTACTGCAGCGTAAGTCTCGATTTAGTATAATCTTCATGTAGAGGAATTGGATAGGGTGAGCTCAACTGGGCCGCCATGAAAGAACTAACAAATTGCGAAAACAAGGTGAAGCATCTTCTAAACAAGGAAAGGAGACTGCAACCAAAATAGAGATCACGACATCTTGGTCGTTCAGAATGCTGACAGACTGGTAGTGAAGTTTTATACTACTACTATGTACTATGAGATGTATTCACCCAATTTCGTTTAAGGTAATGAAGGACGGTAGAAGAAGAATTTTCCCACAATGATATGAGTAGAGCTGACGTCGCGGTTAGACTCCCGCTGAGGGTGTTGATAAGACCGACACGAGGTTGAGAACCGGGATGAGAACAACTTTTGGGAAAGCAAGGCTATGTGAAATTGAATGAAAACGTCAGCTCAACTCATATCATTGTGGGAAAATTCTTCTTCTATCAGTCCTTCATCCTCTTAAACGAAATTGGATGAATACATCTCATATTACTGATTTACTTGTAGTCACGAAATCAATACTTAATTCGAAAAATAAAGTATAGTAGTCGATTTTTATAGCAAAACATACGTCTGCTTCATCGACAATCCCACCAAAAGAATATGATATGACAAAAAGGCCTGGCTTTCCTTGAAAATTCACATTTGTCCTATGACTTAAAAGGCGCTCGTGGCAGTGTAGCCGATTGGTTGGCATGTCAAACTCCCATCCTGCACTGTCGTGGTTCGACTCCCGCTGAGGGTGTTGATAAGACCGACGCGAGGTCGAAATTGCAGTCCACTCCAGCCGGGATGAGAATAACTTTTGGGAAAGCAAGGCTATGTGAAATTGAATGGAAACGTCAGCTCAACTC